CCTAGGAGCTTGTTAGAAATGCAGAATCCTGGGCCCCACTCCAGACCTACTGAATTGGAGCCTGAATTTTGACAAGATCTCTAGTGATGTGTGTGCACACAGAAGTTCGAGAAACCCAGCTCTGCTTCAAACCTACCCCCCTCGTCCTTCCTGGTTCCAGCCTCATGGCTAAGCTTTACTGGCAGGTGAGGTAATGGAGAGAAAGGTCAGCCTCATCCTAAGGAGATCTAAGTTAGGAGATAACTCCCGATCCTTTTTCACTAGCCTTTAAAACTTGCCTCCAGGCCCTAGCAAAATTGTAGGATGGGTTATAAAACAGGTGTGTAAGCCTTTGGAAATAGTTTGCATAGTTGGGTGGCTAACATTTGGAACCCACTATGAGTTCACTGGAAGAAAAAGAATCATTCAAAATTGACCACATTTTCTTTTTATGAAAAGTAATTAAAAGTTTATTATAGAAAAGTGTAAAGACTCTGATGAGACAAGATGATGTGAAATGTTGAACTGATGAATTGAATTGATGGTAGCTGAATTGATTCAAGGACTGATAATTGATTGTATAGTGACTGGAGAGGTCTCTCTATCATCCAGTCTGGGGTGAAGTCTTTACACTGTTAGACTGCATTTGTGAGAAATGCAGAATCCTGGGCCCCACTCCAGACCTACTGAATTGGAACCTGAATTTTAACAAGATCTCTGGTGATGTGTGTACACACGGAAGTTTGAGAAACCCAGCTCTGCTTCAAACCTACCCTCATCGTCCTTCTAGTCTCCAGCCTTCTCCTTGTCAAAATGGTTGTTAGTGACTTGGGACATGTGAGGGGCTTTCCACTAGAATTTCTTATGGACATATTATAGCTATAGTTCATGGCAGATTGATTATTCTATAATCAGGCTCCATTAAGAAGTGTGTTAGGTCAGTTTATGGGGGCCTGGATGCAGGCTCCAGGACAGATGTATTGTCCCTCTATGAGCCAGACTAAGAAAATTTGAGCCTCACAGGCAGTGTGGACGAAGGGAAGGGCAATGCCAGAGGTCCAACCATGGGGCAGACAGTAAGGGGGCATTGTCTGCACAGAATTTAAAAACAGTAACAGAACTGACTTTTAAAAACCTGACTAAAAGATTCTGTTTTTATTATCACCATGCACCAGTAATTCTAAACAATGTCAGGGATAAAATACTCTTCCTTGGGAAAAAAGAAAAACTGTGTTTATCTAAGTTCTAAACAATTGCCGTTGCATAAACTTCAAACTGGCACATTTTAAAATCACATAACCCTTAATAAACATTGTATTCTGCCTGGGAGCTAATCCAGGAGACTCTCAGTTGGCCCCTAACACATGTTCCCAAACACTACATGTTTGTCGCAAGAACAATTTCTTAAGGTTCACAATTGCTTGAGCTTATGAAGGCCACAGCTCATGTCTCCAACCCCTATGCTATTATCTCTTCCTGAAGTTTAAGTGTATTAGAAATAAGCAGACCCCAGGGGTGCCTAGGTGGCTCAGTTGGTTAAGCATCTGACTTCATCTCAGGTTATAATCTCATGGCTCATAGGTTCAAGCCCTACATCAGGCTCTGCGCTGACAGCTCGGAGCCGGGAGCCTGCTTCGGATTCTGTGTGTCTGCCTCCCGCCCCCACTCATGCTCTGTCCCTCTCTCTCTCTCTCTCTCTCAAAAATAAATATTAATTTTTTTTTAATTTTAAAAAAGAAAGAAATAAGTGGAGCTCATAAAGATAAAGCAGAAGAACTTTTGTCATTCTAGGTGACCACCTGGAGTTTGTGGTCCTTTTTAAAATGTGAAACAGTGAAATGGTGCGAGAACTGCAATGCGTAATATTTGGTAGGTGTAAATTCCAGTTTCAACATGAAAGATGTATACGAATGTGAATATATGTGTACAAATAAAAATATGAGGATATAATGCTTGAATGTTCTAAAAATATCAGTTTGGGTATAAAATGTTAGGGCAATCCAGTGCGGGTTTGTTCCCTGATGGACATCCCTAGGGCAGATAGGCATGGAGTTCCAAGTGACAAGTCACAAATGGCAGCCTGCATGATCACACTTGCTTCTTAACTCTCCCCTCTCCAGACCATTTCCCTTTCTTTCCTGCCTTGGGTTTGTATTCCTGGTCTGAGTCCTGATACCCCAGACGCGAGAATCTGCTCCTCCTTCCCCATCCCAAACCAAGAGATGCTCTCAGCCTTGGAGATGACTCATGGCTTAGCATACTGTTATAAGTGATGAAAGACTGAAAGCTCAAAATGATTTTGACCGTTTGGAATACCATAAAGGTGAAGACCCCACTTCAGGTTAAAAAATTCAATGTCATGAGGAAATTTGGGGGAATGTGGATAGGTTCACTGTCTTGGTCATGTTGATGGTTTCACAAGTATATGCACATGTCAGAGTCTACCAAATTAAAGATTTTGGATATGTATGTCAGTCATACTTCAAGCTATTTAAAAAAGGTAGCATCGGGGCGCCTGGGTGGTGCAGTCGGTTAAGCGTCCGACTTCAGCCAGGTCACGATCTCGCGGTCCGTGAGTTCGAGCCCCGCGTCAGGCTCTGGGCTGATGGCTCGGAGCCTGGAGCCTGTTTCCAATTCTGTGTCTCCCTCTCTCTCTGCCCCTCCCCCGTTCATGCTCTGTCTCTCTCTGTCCCAAAAATAAATTAAAAAAAAAAAAAAAGGTAGCATCATATGGACAAATGGAGGGAAGCTCTGATTTGGCTGTGTGCCTTTGAGAAAACCTGGGACGTACCAGTGACTAGATTTTTAATTTTATCTCAAATATCTGAGTTTTTTGCAGGAAAGCATTTATAGCACCACACCTGGATACCGTACTCTGTTCTTGGCCCTGTAATTATAAAACTCTGTGACCCAGTATCCACCCTTGAGTGGCCAGGAGACAGGATTTGGAGCCTCACTGGGATCCAAATTACTTGGGTTCTTCAGCAATTCAGTCTCTGCTGAAGAACTTCACATTTCTGCCAGAGAATGCCATCTTGACTTGAGGCAGATACGAGAAATTCATAGCTCCCTATTTCTAGGGGTTTGAAGATTCCACTAAATGGTCAGGGTCCTGCATGAGCCTATCTGCTCTGTTCTGCTGGAGCACTCATGACAAATGACCTTCTCAAGCAGGGAATACCCTCTGTGGTATAGCTACGATGGGCTGCAGATTCTGTGCAAATATAGCATATTCTAAATATGCTAGTGTAATTCTACTCTTCCTCTCCCATTGGAAAAGCTTAAGGGATTGCATGGGAGTGAGGAAGACATTAGTAGGGGGATAACTTTGAACCTGCTCTAAACTTATAACCACTAACCTTCCATGCCCATGAGTATTTCATGATTAGTAACAAGTTATAAGCAACATACCTCACAGCAGATGGGGACACAGCAGTGTGTTGAGTTGGCCACCCAGTGGCTGAAAACTGGACTCCAGGAAGCCCAGGACCTAGCTTACAGCAATAGCCTGAGCAGTGCCCTCAGTTTGGCTCTCTACCTCTCTCCATTTCTTGATGCCCTCCTGGGGCCACAGGGCCTGACCTTTGGTCTCCTTGAGCCCAGCGCCCTAGCATTGGTCACTGAATCTTGCTTGATTGCCCTGCTGCACCCACTTTCCTTTGGCTACAGGGACCCACTGTGGGCGCATCAGAGACTGGAATAGGACTGTTGAAGGAGCTGGGAGTGAGAGGGAGAATGAAAGGGAGTCACAGCAGCGGTCTTCAGATTCTTGCATCACTGACCTACCTAGGCCTGTTCCACTGGACAAGGATCCAGAGAGCCGAATTCGATGATAGGAGTATGTTTCTCAGGAAGGCAAATTCAGGCTGAACTCAAGGAGGAAATCTGCAACAATTAGGACTGGCCAACAATGGATTAACTGTTCTTGGAAACAGTGTACTCTATTTCACTATGGGAACTTAAAAAGTGCAAGGTCAAGGATGGACACAGGGATTTCTGTGTTTGTATGTTCTATTGAAGGTTCTTTCTTCAGGCCCCAGCCTTCTGTGATTCCAAAAGCTCCTGTTTTCCTATACTTTTGAGATGCCTCTTTAGACCGTAAACTCTAGTCTGAGTTCACATACCCATTTTTTCCCAGGGAGCTCAGCGTTTCTGCGCATACTGCTGAGCTTGTTTTCATCATTTTTCTGCTTCAGTGGCCAGGGTTTCTTTTCTCCACATTGCAGAGATATTGAGATATTGTGCATCACGCCAGATTTCACTCACTCTTGGTATTAGGTTTCCATCATACTAGCCTGTGCTGTTTTCTGCCTGAAAGACGGCTCTAACCTGGGAGACACGAAGCTCTCTCTTGGGAACACTGGGGGGTGGGAAATACGGGGTAAGGAACCTCATCTGCCTATTCATCTCTCCCTCTCCCACTGAGTGGGCAGGCATGACCTTCCATGTCACTTCCACTCTCTCTCTCTGAGTCAGGAGAATACAGCGGGTAACCTCCGTGACATCAGTAACCTTGTAATTGTTACTCTTGCAAAACACACGGAACTGTGACATACATCAGAATGCGCAGACCCCATTTTGCAAAAAATACATCATGTTTCACGTCCCATCATATTGTAGGTAGTTATGAGTTTTATTCTTCAAGGGAAAGGGGCATTGCCTTTCAAGAACAAGAGGGTCATGTCACACAGAGTGCTATGGTACCAGTGACCTGTGGCTTTTGGCGAGGGAACCATGAGGAATTTCCACCTAGTCCTTTGGCCTGGAAGACTTCCTGGGCTCCTCAAGTGTCTGTTCCAGTGTGTTCCAGGAACACCCCATGGGGCCGCTATCATAGCTTTCTCATGCAGGTTATGTATTCCCAGTGCCTACCGCATATGGGTCTAAATCTACACTTGCAGAATTAAATTGAAAGGCTTATATGCAGCGTGCAGTAGTTTCCCCACATTGGGGTCCAATGTCCAGTGCAGTCCCTGTTTGCTGTGCCACCCCCAATCACTTGTTTCTCCCTTCATTCCCAGCCTTGTTAACTTTGTGTGCCATACCTGCTTCAAGAGGCAGGAGAAGCTTCATCGCTGTGGACAGTGCAAGTTCGCCCACTATTGTGACCGCACCTGCCAGAAGGATGCTTGGCTGAACCACAAGAACGAGTGTTCGGCCATCAAGAGATATGGGAAGGTGCCCAATGAGAACATCAGGTCAGAGCTGGGCCCCGGGGCTAGTGTTTGTGATTCCCAAGTGTCAGGTGGGGAAGGCGTTAGTGACAAGCATTCCCAGGCCCAACGAAGCCAGGCTGAGTGCAGATCAGGGTAGAGCCTCAGAGAGACTGGATAGGGGCATCTCTGTGCACTCCCTTTAGGTGTGGGAGCCCATCTAGAACTGGGTGTCTGTGGCCATGGTTTTAGTCCACAACCCGTCTAGACTTGACTGCAGACCTGTTCTCAATGGCTCCCTAGTGTTTAACTTAAAAAAAAAATTTTTTTTTTGATCTGCCAATGTTTAAAAAAATTGGAAAATTCCACATTAAAAAAGTTAGGATTTCTGGTTTCTCTTGAAAGAAAAAAATCTGAAGATTTGGCAAAATGAGCTAGAGCTCAACAGCAGCTGAGCTATTTAATTCCAGCAGAATTAAACACACAAAAAAGCAGAGCTTTTTTTTTTAAAGGTTTTATTTAAATTCTAATTAGTTAATATACAGTGTAATATTATTTTCAGGTGTACAATGTAGTGATTCAACATTCCCATACATCACCTGGCACTCATCACAAGTGCGCCCCTTGATCCCATCACCTATTTCATGCACCCACCACTCTGGTAGCCATCACTTTGTTCTCTGTGGTTATATAGCAGCATATCTGCAATAGTCAAATTACAGAAACAGCTCAAGTGTCCATCGACTGATCGATGGACGAGGAAGATGTGGTATATATACACAATGGAATATTACTCAGCCCTCAAGAAGTGAAATCTTGCCATTTCCAATAAAATGGATGGAGCTAGAGAGGATTATGCTAAGTGGAATAAGTCAGATTTCACTCATGTGGAATTTAAGAAACAAAACAAATGAACAAAGGGAAAAAACAGACAGGTAAACCAAGATAAAATGCAGAGCTTTTCAAGTAACCATAGACCACTAGTCCCTTGGCTTGTGCACACAGCCCTCTGCACTCATTATACGCGAAAGACATTCACAACAGTTAGTGGCATCCCCAGGGCGGCTGCGGCCAGGAATCTCAGGGCCAACACCACAAGATAGGGCTGCAGGTCAGTGCTTGGGAGGTGGTGTTGGAGAGCAGAGGAGATGGGGAAGGTGAAGTTGGGACCATTTTCAGTGGGTAGGGTGGGAAGTTCAAGTACAGAATGGAATCATCATATCCTAGTAATTTTTAGGAAACTACAAAATGAAATGGCTCAGTCAGCCTCCCCATCCCCGTAGTTCCACCTGTTGAAATCCTGCTTCTTTAAAAACAATGTTCTTTTGCAATTTTATTTTATTTTCATGTTTTAAAAATTTCAGCTTTATTGAGGTACAATTGGCATATAAGATCATAAGATATTTAAGGTGTACATAATGATGATTTGATGTGTGTATACAATGTGAAAGGACACCTCCCATCTAGTTAATTAACATACCTATCACCTGACATATTTATCCTTTTTTTCCCCAAGTGAGAACCTTTATGTTCTACTCTCTCAGCAGATTATAATTATACAGTACAGTGTTGTCAACTGTAGTCACTATGTTTTACATTAGATCCTCAGACCTTATTTATCTCCTAGCTGAAAGTTTGTGCTTTAACTAGCCTCTCCCTGTTTCCCCCACTACCCAGACCCTGGAAACCACTTTCCTCTGTTTCTATGAGTTTGACTTTTTTCTTTTCTTTTTTAAGATGCCATACATAACTGATACCATGCAGTTTTTGTCTGTGTCTGGTTTGTTTCACTTAGCATAATGCCCTCAAAGTCCATCCATGCTGTCTTAAATGGAAGGATTTCCTCCTTTCTCATGACTGAATAGTATTCCATTTTATACATATATATATACTGTATATATATTATATACACATGTATATTATATATATTTATATTATATAATCATATATTTACATATTATATATACAGTATATATATGTGTATATATATATCTACACACACACACACACACACACACACACACACACCACATTTTCTTTATCCATTCATCCATTGATGGACACTTAGGGACCATTTCCCTAATATTTAGAGGCAACAGACACCCTACTGGAGCCTTATTTTCTCCAGTGCTGTCCTGAGCTCCATGTGGGGATACCTCAGTTCCCAGGCACCTGGGATTGCCAGCAGGGCATCTTTTCAGAAATAACTCTGTGACCCAAACGAGAGGAGAAACGGGCCTGTTATTTGCCAAGGAGGTCCCTCAGGGACAAGATCTGCCTTAGGCCCCCACCCCCTTGCAGGTGCTTGGCCAGCATGCATTCAATGAGTAGCCGAGAGTTGCCAAAATGCCCTCAGTCATAGGCTTCATCTAGTGGGCAAAGGCTACCAAATAGATAACCTTCACTGTCCTCAAGATGAACTTCACCCTTCTGTCTCACACTCCATACCCTGTGCTCTCCAGGGCTCCCTCCTATCCCACCTTGCCTCCCCTCCTCCTTCAGAGCCCTCTGCTTCATCCAGGCCAGCCCCCTCCCCTCCCTGCTTCCTGCATATGCCAAGCCTGTAGCTGCCTCCGAGCCTTTTCTTATACTGTTTCCCCACCCAGATTGTCTTTCCCACCTCTTTCTTTAATCACTAAGACTACAGATAAGTTCACACACATGTAGACATCTGTTACACCACTTTGTCTTCCAAATATTATGTCAGGGGATACGTATTATCATCTTTTACTGGCCCTTAGATAGGTCCAGGGAATTGCCCAAGGTCACATAGTAAGTGGAAATGGATTTGAACCCAGGTTGTTAGACTCCTTCTCTAGTGCTCATCTCAGTTAGCCATATTATCAGGAGAGACCCAGGATGCCATACCTCGGTGTCCCCAGATGCCTTTTTCATGGTCTCATAAACCCCACATGACCTGGCTCCTGCCCACCTCTCCATCTTTATTTGTTCTCCACTCCCTACTCACTATGCTCCACCCACCTTGGACTTCCTGCTGTTTCTCCATCATTCCAAGCCCATTCCTTCTTCAAGGTCTATGTACTCACTGCTCCTTCCCATCTGCACAGAGCCAGCTCCTAGTCATTCCATTTTCAGCTTGAGTATCATCCTCAGTATCACCTCCGCTAATCACCTTGGCATCCCTTCCCCCAGTCACCCTCTACTATGTTTTTATTCTACCCTAGTGTATTCTTTGCGTTGCACTTAATGCTAGTTTAAATTATTATTTTTTAAACTAAGGTCTCCCCACTATAAAAGGGATAGTGAGGGATGGGCATTGAGGAGAGCACCTGTTGGGATGAGCACTGGGTGTTGTATGGAAACCAATTTGACAGTAAATTTCATATTAAAAAAATTAATAAAAGAATAAAATAAAATAAAGGCTCCATGATAAAAAGAAATTCCATATATGTAGGTCAGCCCTGTGCCTGACATGCATTAGGCACTCAGTAAGTGTTTGTTGAATGAATGACTGTGCTGGGGCATCCCTAACCCTGCCCCTCTCCACAGGCTGGCGGCCCGCATCATGTGGCGGGTGGAGAGAGAGGGCACTGGGCTCACAGAGGGCTGCCTGGTGGCTGTGGATGACCTGCAGAACCACGTGGAGCACTTCGGGGAGGAGGAGCAAAAGGAGCTGCGGGTGGACGTGGACACTTTCTTACAGTACTGGCCGCCCCAGAGCCAGCAGTTCAGCATGCAGTACATCTCACACATCTTTGGCGTGGTATGATCCCCCATAAGGTGGCGGGGGTGGGAGGTGGCAGCTGGGATTGGTCAACCAAGAAGTATTCAGAGGCTACCAGGCTGGAGCGGGGGAGGGGAGGCCGAGAGAAGGACCAGAGGGGACAGAGGCCCAAAGTGAAGAACTTTCATCCCATTTCTGTTGTTCTGGCCTTGCTTGCCAGAAAGTCATTCCCACCCTATCAGAAGCAGGCATCCCACACACAAACTGTTGGTTATCCCTGCATGGTAGATTTAGATAGGAATTGACCTTCTTATTTATCTGTGCTTTCTACTTTCTCTGGTTTATACTGAGAGCAAAGACCCAATCACCATCCTTTGTTGCCCAAGTCACTCTGGAAATGAGATCCTTCCTTTTCCCAGGTATGGTAGGCAGGATAATGGAGAGCCTGGAGTCGTGTGTTATGGACATTAGGGAGACAAGAGGAAGGACTTTTGGAGAGAGCTGCCTTGGAGCAGCAAAACCAGAGCTCTTGTAGCCATAAGAGGCCAAAGCATGGGGGTAGGACCTTCATGGATCAGCAGGTTCAGGCCTTGGGTTCTGGGGGTAGATGTCTTCCAACTGGTGGGTCTTCCTTCTGTGGTGCTGATGAGTGGGCTAAGGGGGGAGGTTACTGTAATAACAACAATAGCATGATCATACTCTACATCTCCTGTCCTCACCATGTGCCAGAACTTCTGTGATAGAGCGCTCTAGAGAAACAGAACCAATAGCGCGTACGCGTGTGTGTGTGTGTGTGTGGAGAGAGAGGGAGAGAGGGAGGCAGGGAGGGAGGAAGAAGAGATTTATTTTAATAAATTGGCTCTTGTGATAGTGGAGACTTAGTAAATACAAAACTTGCTGGTAAGCTGGCAGGCAGGGGGCCTGAGAAGAGTTGCAGTTCAAGTCCACAGGCAGTCTGCTAGCAGAATCCTTTCTTGTTTGGGGGAGGTCAGTCTTTGTTCAGTTATAGACTTCAAAAAGGAAAAGAACCATATCATCTTGTCAATAGGTGCAGAAAAAGTATTTGACAAAATACAGCATCCTTTCTTAATAAAAACCCTCAAAGAAATTGGGATAGGAGTAACATACCTTAACCTCATAAAAGCCATATATGAAAAGCCCGCAACTAAAATCATCCTCAATGGGGAAAAACTGAGAGCTTTGCCCCTGAGATCAGACAGGGATGTCCACTCTCACCACTGTTGTTTAACATAGTGTTGGAAGTCCTAGCCTCAACAATCAGACAACAAAGTGAAATAAAAGGCATCCAGATTGGCAAAGAAGAAGTCAAACTTTCACTTTTTGCAGATGACATGATATTCTACATGGAAAACCTGAAAGACTCCACCAAAAACTGCTAGAATTGATGCATGAATTCAGCAAAGTTGCAGGATACAAAATCAATGTACAGAAATCGGTTACATTTCTATACATCAATAATGAAGCAACAGAAAGAGAAATCAAGAAATCGATCCCATTTACAATTGCACTGAGAACCATAAAATACCTAGGAGTAAACCTAACCAAAGATGTAAAAGATCTGTCTGCTGAAAACTATAGAAAACTTATGAAGGAAATTGAAGAAGATACTAAGAAATGGAAAAACATTCCGTGCTCATGGATTGGAAGAATAAATATTGTTAAAATGTCAATACTACCCAAAGCAGTCTACACATTCAATGCAATCCCAATCAAAATTGCACTGGCATTCTTCTCAAAGCTAGAACAAACAATCCTAAAATTTGTATGGAACCACAAAAGGCCCTGAATAGCCAAAGTAATGTTAAAAAAAAAAAACCAAACTCAAAGCATGGGGCATCACAATCCTGGACTTTAGCCTCTATTAGAAAGCTGTAATCATCAAGACAGTATGGTATTGGCATAAAAACAGATAATACAGACCAATGGGATAGAATAGAGAACCCAGAACTGGACCCAAATATATGGCCAACTAATCTTTGACAAAGCAGGAAAGAATATCCAATGGAAAAACGTCTCTTTAGCTAATGGCGCTGAGAGAACTGGACAGCAACATGCAGAAGAATGAAACTGGACCACTTTCTTACACCATTCACAAAAATAAACTCAAAATGGATGAAAGACCTAAAGGTGAGACAGGAAACCATCTCCTCCTAGAGGAGAAAACAAACAACAACTTCTTTGACCTCAGCCACAGCAACTTCTTCCTCGACACATCTCCAAAGGCAAGGGGAATAAAAGCAAAAATGAATGATTGGGAACTCATCAAGACAAAAACTTCTGCACAGTGAAGGAACCAATCAACAAAACTAAAAGGGAACCGACAGAATGGGAGAAGATATTTGCATATGACATATTGGATAAAGGGTTAGTATCCAAATTCTATAAAGAGCTTACTAAACTCAACACACGAAAAACAAATAATCCAGTGAAGAAATGGGCAGAAGACATGAATAGACGCTTTTCCAAAGAAGACATCCAGATGGCCAACAGACACATGAAAATATGCTCAACATCACTCATCATCAGGGAAATACTTCACACCAGTCAGAGTGGCTAAAATTAACAACTCAAGAAACAACAGGTGCTGGTGAGATTGTGGAGAAACGGGAACCCTCTTGCACTGTTGGTGGGAATGCAAACTGGTGCAGCCGCTCTGGAAAACAGTGTAGAGGTACCTCAAAAAATTAAAAATAGATCTACCCTATGACCCAGCAACAGCACTACTAGGAATTTATCCAAAGGATACAGGAGTGCTGTTTAATAGGGGCACATGCACCCCAATGTTTATAGCAGCACTTTCAACAATAGCCAAATCATGGAAAGAGCCCAAATGTCCATCAACTTATGAATGGATAAAGAAGATGTGGTTTTGGGGCACCTGGGTGGTTCAGTCGGTTAAGCGTCCAACTTTGGCTCAGGTCATGATCTCATGGTTCGTGAGTTCGAGCCCCATGTTGGGCTCTGGGCTGACAGCTCAGAGCCTGGAGCCTGCTTCAGATTCTGTGTCTCCCTCTGCCTGCCCCTCTGCTGCTTGCACTCTGTCTCTCACATTGTCTCAAAAATAAATAAACATTAAAAAATATTTTTTAAAAAGCTGTGGTTTATATATACAATGGAATACTACTTGGCAATGAGAAAGAATGAAATCTGGCCATTTGCAGCAATGTGGATGGAACTGGAGGGTATTATGCTAAGTGAAATAAGTCAGAGAAAGACAGATATCGTATGTTTTTACTCATATGTGGAACTTGAGAAACTTAATAGCAGACTATGGGGGAAGTGAAGGGGAAAAATAGTTTTAAACAGAGAGGGAGGTAAACCCATGAGAGACTCTTAAATACAGAAACAAACTGAGGATTGATGGGGCAGTTGGGGAGAGGGTAAAATGGGTGATGGGCACTGAGGAGGGCACTTGTTGGGATGAGCACTGGGTGTTGTATGTAAACGATGAATCATGGGAATCTACCCCCGAAACCAAGAGCACACTGTATACAATGTATGTTAGCTAACTTGACCATAAATTATATTTTTTAAAAATGTAAAAAAAAATACGGGCTTCAGCTGATGGCATGAGGCCCACCTATACATTATTATGCAGGCTAGTTTGCTTCACTCAGAGTCTACTGATTGATTGATTGATTGATTGATTGATTTTAACTTTTTAATGTTTATTTATTTTTGAGAGAGAGAGAAAGAGAGAGAGAGCTAGCAGGGGAGGGGCAGAGAGAGATGAGACACAGAATCCAAAGCAGGCTCCAGGCTCTGAACTGTCAACACAGAGTCTGATGTGGGGCTCGAACTCACGAGCTGTGAGATCATGACCTGAGACGAAGACGAAGTTGGACACTTAACTGACTGAGCCACCCAGGCACCCCTAGTCTACCAATTTAAATGTTATATACAGAATACTGTTTAACTAAATATCTGGGTACTACAGCCCAGATTAACCATAAAATTAACCATCATAGCTTTCCATATATTTATTTTATGCAATCTTTAAATACAAGCTGAAATCATTGCTTTTAGCACTCCAATTTTATAGAATAGGAAGCCTAGGCTTGGAGAGGCTATGTTATCTCCAAAGCCCACATAGTGATAATGGGCTGGTATCCAAGAAAGGACTAGAAGCAGTCTGGCAGGTGATTCTAGATTTTTTACTCTTAGCAGTTATGCTCTATAGCCTTGGGGTGAATGGGTGTCACAGACCGATCCTGGGTATCACTAAAGTGGTCCAGGGACTAGATTCACAGGACCACATAATCACCAAAGTGCAGAGCTGAAAGAACTCTTAGAGATCATCTAGTCCAACCTACAGATGGGAAAACTGAGGCTCAGGGAAGAAGGAAATTTGCCCGAGGTAACAGCTTGTTAGTGGTACTGACAGGCTTGACTTCATGTATTTGCTGAATGACTGACGAGATTGAATGGAGAAAGGGACATTCCTGCAATATCTATGACACATAGCCACGTGAGTGCATGCATGCATATGCATGAGCACAGTGTAGCACATGTTTACATACGTATTTATGCAGATAGCAGACGTTTGTGTGCAGTGGTTAATATATTCTAGGTTGTATTTATTCTTATGCATTTTTTTGGAAAAGGTATTTGGAATCTGTTTCTATAAAGAATAAGTGATTTTGGGGGAAAGGAAATCAATAGAGTGCCACATAACTAGTAACCAACTTGATTTGTCTTGCATTCAAAGATATATGTTAAGTGTTGCACTCAACAGATTTTAAAATTGTGAACAGGAGTAAAAAATATACATCCACCAGACCCAAAACAATCAAAAAGAGATGTCAATTTTATGAGCAGCTATAGGAGTTGAGGGTGGGTAGGCAAAGGAAGCAGGGGAGGCACACAGCCCTCTGTATCTACACACACACACACACACACACACACACACACACACACATGCGCATGTGCATGCACACACATACACAGAGTAAGGCAGAGCAGGTCATGGAGAAAAACCAAAATAGATACTGGGGAAAACTCATGTGAGACCCAGAAACAGGAAAAGAGGGAGACTTCTCAGAACCAACGTTTCCGTCTTTGGCCTTTTTAGAATGCAGCTACCAAAAGCTTCCAAGGTGGCTTTGTTTTTTGGCAAGTACAGTACTCTTCCAGGGTGCTCACCTTGAGGGTCCTTTGAAGTCACCTAGAGAACGAGAGATTAATTGTTTTGTTGCAGACTCTCTAAGCATCTCCAGGATTAGACTGAGTCTTCTATTTTCTTGAACTTTGAACAGACAAGATGGTGTTCTGTCCTTGGTCTATGTCTGTTAATTGACTCTTTTATCTTTTCCTCTGAGTAGATTAGCTGCAATGGCTTCACACTCAGTGACCAGAGAGGCCTGCAGGCAGTGGGTGTGGGCATCTTCCCCAACCTGGGCTTGGTGAACCATGACTGTTGGCCCAACTGCACCGTTATATTTAACAATGGCAAGTGAGTATGTCTTTAACTGGGGATGGTATCATGGGGATGTGGACCCTATTGTGTTTTCTCTACTTGACCTAAACCAAACTGTGGAACCTGAACTAGCATGGATTTTGACTGGGCAGCAAATAGAAATTTTGTTCTAGGGGCACTTGGCTGGCTCAATTGGATGAGCAAGCGACTCTTGATCTTGGGGTCATTAGTTCAAGCCCCACATTGGGTATAAAGATAACAAAAAAAATTTTTTTTTAAAAATAAAAAACATTTCATTCTAGAATAATTGTGGATAAGAGAAAGGTAATGAGAAAGCAAAGGATTCCACATGGGTAATAACTGAGTCTTTGCATGTTTCTTGAAGCTGCCTAGGTGTGTTAGGTAATTTATTTATTTTGAGAGGGAGAGAGAGAGAGAGAGAGAGAATCCCAAGTAGACTCCATGCTGTCAGCATGGATGTGGGGCTCTGTCCCACGAACCATGAAATCATGACCTGAGCTGAAATATAGAGTCAGATACTTAGCTGACTGAGCCATCCGGGCGCTCCAAACCTTTACTGTTTTAAAGCTCAAAGCCTGGGATTATCTATCAGGCAGTCATTGCAGAACAACATCAACTGAGAAGGTGCTTGGCAGAAGCATATATTAGTCAAGGTCCCAGCAGAAATCAGAAGGTACATTCAGTGTTTACCCAAAGATTATTTAATAACAGGAAAATTTACAGAAGTAGGGGTAAAGTTTAAGAAACTAACAAGGAATGGTGAGGTGTGCAGGGTCTAGCAATAGTATGAAATCCTTACCACCTCCAGACCTGGAGGGGCAGGTGGAGGAAATACTGTTCCTGCATCTGGTGAGAGCTGTAGCATGGGAGAGTTCCGTTTCTCCACTCCCCACCCAGTGGCTTGGCTGTACTGGTAGAGAAAACTGGCACTGCTGGAACCATGGCCAGGCAGAGAGGGAGCCAGGAGAATTAAATACCCCAGCCTCCCTCTCCTCCCATCTTCTGATCCCCTCCCACTGGCCAAACTCCAACCAGAAGCCAGAGAGCAAAGGACTCTGGTGATGAGGCTCCCAGAGGTCATCCCCCCTCACCCCCAACTCCCAAGGCACAGATCAGGGGACAGAAGGACAAAGAATGGATCTTGGGATGGGCATAAATGGAGAAGTCAGCAAACAGAATGAGAGCCTGGCTGTCCATGACTCAGGGCTGGGGGAATTTGGAGGACGAAGCCTAAGCAATATTACTTATTTTGCTCTTAGAGATGAGACAAGATTTTATGACAGGTGTAAGTCAACTCTGAGCCATCAACAATGAGCTGCTTTGCCCCCAAACTTCCTGGAAACCAGAGACAATGGTTTCTGGTTCTCAGTCAAGAATCAAGCCTAAACCCCAATATAGCAAGGACTCTGCTTTCCCTTTTCCTTCCTATTTCTGGAAACAAAGGCCTGCATGACACCAGGCTCTAAGCAAGTGAGAAAGTTACTCAAGACAGAGAAGTTTATTTGGGACCCAGATCATTTTTCCCCGGAATTTGCATTTCCCTTGCTAAGCCTTTTGGGGTCATTGACGTGGACCTCATAGAATACTCCTCAGAGGGGCTGTTGTCCCAGGTTAGCCTGCTTGGCTGAGGATCAAATTCAGCCATATATGGGGCTGGTCTTTTGGGACACCACTCCCCTAAGCAGTGTTGACCCAGGGCTCCCCTTGTCACTACATGTAACAGCTGTAGGAGCCCAGGAACCCTTTCTTCAGACCAAATCTGATGTCTGCTCTGGCTTCTTTGCATCCACTAATTTTGAGCAGCCATATTTACCTGGTTTCTTGGCTGTTGTGCAAAAGAAGGTGATTTTGCAGTCATAGTCTAGCTGCCTGCCATAGTGGAAAGAACCCAATTCTAACCCAATGGAATTTTACATACTACCTATGTGACCGAACCAACCTCCATTTGCAGTTCACACAGTCCCCAAGATAGACATCAAAGAGGCCACGATGCTTGTGAGTGAGATAACAGCACCCATACAGGGTTTAGCACCTATTATTAAATGCACTGTCTCATGGTAGTCCCATTACCAGGTTGCAGTTGAGGACGGTGAGCCCAGGAAAGGGAAATAACTTGTCCAGAGCTGAGGACCTTTGAACCCAGAACTTCTCATTCTAAATCCAGTGCACTTTCCACTATAGCAGTCTGCTTCTTGTCAAGTGAGCCCCCACTGGAAGGGGCTGGGATAAAGGTGGTGGTGATGGCCAAAGCTTTCATTGCATAAGCTGGAATGCTGTGCTCCCTTGCTAGCTGTACTGGACCAGCCGATGGTAATGACTTCCATTCGGGTGTCTGTTTTGTCTTTCAGTCATGAGGCAGTGAAATCCATGTTTCACACCCAGATGAGGTGGGTCAGTCCTTGCAAGCATCCCTGCCCCTCTGACCCATCTCCCTCACTTGCCTGGTTTGCTGGGGCCGCCCCCTCCCGAGACTCCGAAGCTGCTCTCTGGCTGTAATATCCTTCCACAGCCCAGAGTCTGATCTTTGCTGAATGCTATATTTTAAATGCATATATATTAATCGTTTTGTTCCTCACCCACCCACTCCCCACCGTGCCTTTGCTTCTTTTCTTTCCTGTCTTTCACTCCTTGCTTCTCTCACTACCCCAATCCCAAAGCATGCCAGTCCCTTCTAGTCCACATCACCTTAGCAAAACCCACGCTGTCCGTCGAAGTCCTGCTTATGTAAAATGAGGATACTGATATTACTGACGTACTAAAGGGACTGTGTTTATGTATAACCCCCAATTTCTCACCCAGACTGTCTTCTGAATATAGTACCCGTAGCTGCAATCTTTTTGATAAATATTTATTTACGCTGTTTGTTCAATGTTTCTGGCCAACTATGAATTAGTGGTTTAGGTAAGATTTTGCTTTGACTTTTCTTAGTGACAAATAAATGGCCCCAGGTGGATCTATTTCTCAGGCTGGGTTTGAAAGTACTTGAAATGCTCTTTAGATTAAGAACAAAACTCTGCATGGGAGTTTGGGCTCTGGGAAGGCAGGGGTAGGAGTGGTTGCTGCATTGGAGTATGTGTTGGTCTGCATTACATGTGACTTTGGATGATTCCCATCATCCCTTGGGCGTTTGGTCCCACATCTGTAGAGCAAAGGTCAAGATGAGCACATCTCTAGGGACCTTCCTAATTTTAAGTCTCTGGGGCTCTGCACTGCATTTCTAGTCTCTCCAAGAAATAAATACGTTAAATAAGTTGCCTGTGTGTGCCTCAGTTAGCTGAACTCCAGAATTGCAGGCATTAAAGATGGAAAAGGGAGAACGGACTGATGGTTGCTATTCATCCCCTGACCCCGAATCCCAAGTAAGGTGACATGGGGCATGCATATTTTCATATTTGAGGGACACTAAGTTCATTTGGTTTTGAAAATTCTCTACATAATTGAGATAATTTGAGATACTCTGAGACCTTGCGAGAACTGACTGAGCTGTGATAGGAAGAAAGGCTATTGGGAATCCTCACTCAGTTGGCATTGAATCACTGTTGAATGGGAATATGTCACAATGGAGCCGTGTGGGGTTGGTGGGGGCAGAATTACTTACCTTACCAGGACCAGATGCCAGAGATCCACACTCAACACTGGCCCAGGAGTTGTTCGCATGGAACGATTTAGAACATTGGCAGAGCTCTGAAGTCAAAGGCTTTGGTGCATTTCTTTCCCTGTGCATGGCAGACCTGGGAGGCAGACTGAGGACACTCTAGGGAGAGGATTATATTGAGGTGAAGTGTGAATGGCACTCGATTTTTCGTCTTGACTGTTGCCAAAGTGCTGTGGGACCTCATGGGGGGAGTTCCTTCCCCTCTCTGGGTGGCGGTGCCCTCCCTTGTGAAATGGGGACGTTGATCCCCTGCAGCTGAGACTATTAGGATTCTAAGCTGGGCTGTGAGGAGAATCATACAACTCACCTCTCCGTCTTGCCTTTCACCATGGCAGGACAGCTGCTGCCAAAAATTGGGGTGGGGGAGAAAAGAAAGGGGTCCCATGGGCACATGAACAGGCACTGAGACTTTGCCAGGCTCCCTCTGAATTGTTTGTATATATTATCACGTTTATTTGGCATGTCAGGGTACCCCGATTTGGGAGAAGGCTTTTTTACCTTAAGTGGTCACCTAAGATACTTGGACATGCCTGTCACTTCCAGTCAGTGGTTACTCACCTGGTTGCCACCTCAGAGTGTGTGGAAGGGGCTGCCGGTCACATGGTGTCTGACTCAGCCTCTCTGGGAGGTAGCGGAAATAAACACAGACCTGTCTGCAGATGTTCTCCCCAGCCCTCTGCGTCCTGCCACCCACTCTCTGGGTGATGGCTTCCCACTGGGCAGTGAGAAGATCCTGGGGGGACACAAGAGCACAGCTAGGCAGCCAGCTTGCGGGGCTCCCCGGTTGTTCTCTGTAGCTCCTGGCCTTGTGGTGGAGGGTGCATGATTGAGAGGCCCACGAGCTGCTCTGCTTGTTTGGCTTAGCTGGATGTCAGCTCTGCAGTGAGTGGGCTTTTGTCCTCAGCACCTTCTGTATCTGTTACCTGGTAAGGTGGTAGTGCTGTAGGTAATGAGAGGGTCAGGTCTAGGCTGGAAGGGGATTGAAATGCCATCTGCTGTTGCTACCTACCTTCAACCAAAACCCGCGTGGGGGCCCCCCCCCCGGTAAATACAAAATGAACAATGCAGCAGGCTAACAGAGCCAGCCTTTGTTTATTTGTCATCAGTGATCTCCAGGCCTGTCTCTTTCCATAACGTAGACCAGAACCAGTGGACTGAGGGGTAGGTGAGGGAGGGCTTAATGTTGAACCCAGAACAGGCCACAATTGTGGGTAACTGAATGTACGTACTTTCAAAAGAGTAGTCTCTAAACTAAGCAGAGGCAACTGTTGAGTCTTCTCCTATTTGGAATGTTTACCTTATTATTTCTCCCTTCCTTTGTTGCAGGCATCCAGTAGCTAAATGTACAGGGATAATTGCAGGCGAGGAAGCTACATATGGCTTTGTGACTGTGCCCAGCCCTCTCCTGGGAATCCATTTAATTGGATTTCAGAGCAATTAACTGAATGGAGCAGATTTGATTGTTATAATGTGTAGAGCAGAATTATCCAGAAAATTGTCCTTTGGGTCCTTTGGGGGTGGGGGTGGGATTGGGAGTTTTCTTGGAGTGCTAGTGGGAGTTATCTTTAAGACTCAACTCCCTGAGACCTTGGAGAGCAGAGACCCCACTCTGAGAGCCCTGTATTTGATTTACTCTTTCCTCTACCTTGTCCAGAATTGAGCTCCGGGCCCTGGGCAAGATCTCAGAAGGAGAGGAGCTGACCGTATCCTATATCGACTTCCTTAACGTCAGTGAGGAGCGCAAGAGGCAGCTGAAGAAGCAGTACTATTTTGACTGCACGTGTGAGCACTGCCAAAAAAAGCTGAAGGATGACCTCTTTCTGGGGGTGAAAGATGACCCGAAGGTACTTGTAGTCCTGCTCCTGGGGTGTCTGCGACCATCTTCTCTGGGAGCCAGCAAGGGTGGATTTCACAGCTCATCCGTGCAGAGAACCAGCCTGTGACTATTAGAAAGGTGCTGTGGGGTGGTGGACAGGACATAGAGGAAAGGTCCCAGCTAGCGTCCTGGGGCCACCGCTTGCCAGGTGTTTGCGTTGGTGAAGTTGCTCAGTGTTCTCATCTGTAAAATAGGAATGATGGCACCCACCAGAAGGGGTTACTGTGGGGACTGAACAAAGTGATAAATGTAAAGGGAGTGGCATACAGAGTGGACACTGAGTAAATTTTAGTTCTTCTCTGTGCCCTTTTGCTGGTTAAGTAATGCTGAGAGTTTCATATATTGAGACCAGATGGGCAAAGAGATCATTTGCCTGGTTATCACAAAGGTATTCCTAGTCCCATGGAAATGGGCAATGTAGAGATTGGGTAATGTGCTTAAATCCTGAATTGCTTGCTGCCTGGTTGCTGGTGAGACCACCAAGCAGCTAAAGGATTCCTGAGGGGGATTTCAGGAGCTTGGCTGAGCTGGGAGAGAGCCCAGCAATGGTATAAACAAAAGGCTAAAACTGGACTCCTCTTGTTCCATTTTCCCCCATGGAAAAGTGCACAGGTGGAGGGTCAGGTGGGGGTCTTCTCCCTGCTGAGGGGCTCAGCCAAAGGGGTTCAGCAGTTTTATGGACCTGAGATGGGGAGAGGGTGGAAGAAGCTGTGGGGGAAGGGCTAAGGGTAGAAAAGTACTGGGTACCAAGTTGGAGTGGGGGAGAGAATCTTCAAGGTTCCCTCCTCCTCCTCCTCTGGAAGGAGGCCTCCAGAGGTCAAGACCTCAGATAAAGAGACCTAGGAATGAAGGCTCCTGGCTAGGAATACAACCACGAAATATGTGGCTCTTGGTTCTCCTCTCTTTACTTGAGATATGCTGCTACCAGCTGGTGACGATATGCCCACGTCTTCCAGTGTGGAATTGCAGAGTTGGCGTTTCTCTTGATATAAAAGATTGATGATTTCTGCTTGAACCTACCTGGATTCAAAGCAAAAGCTTTCTATTGTTTTTATGTAAAATTTGGTTTCTCTATGAAAATAAACAAAATAAAAGTAACCCAAACCAAAATTAGTCAACCAAAAAAATTCATCAGAAAAAAATTGAGTTTAACCTATTTTTATTTTTTTAAATGCTTATTTATTTTGAGAGAGAGAGAGAGAGAGAGCAGGGGAGAGGCAGAGAGAAAGGGAGAGAGAGAATCCCAAGCAGGCTCTGCACTGTCAGCGAGTGTAGGGCTCGATCTCACAAGTCATGAGATCATGACCTGAGCCAAAATCAAGAGTCGGACGCTTAAGCAACTGAGCCACCCAAGTGCCCCAAATATTGAGTATAATTTTTTAAAAAGCAGTGCATCCTAAGGCAAATTCAAGGCCATTATAATGTAGTAGAAAGAATACTGGAAAATGAGCCAGGAGGCCAGTGTTAAGAGTTCGGGCTATGACACTGAATATTTCTGAGTGTGGGCAAGCATCTTCCTTTTGAGCCAGTGTCCTCATCTGTAAAAAGGGAGTTGCACTGTTAGCAGTTTTTTCAAGCTTATCCTATCTATGTGGTTGTCAAAGGTGCTTTTCTTTAAATGCGTTTATAATGTGTTGTCTCAGCCTGATAAGCCCTATCCAGTAATCCAGGCTTTGTGACTCCTCCTCAAACTTTTGATTCACATCAGAATCCCTCCTGACTCCTTAATATATGTATGTGTTAACTCGTTAATATATGTGTGTATGTTAACCTGGATAAAAGTCAAAACCAAATATTTACAAAATGCAAAAATAACACCAAAATGTTTAACATCCCCCTCAACTATACTTTGGGCCCTCCTTGTTTGGATTGCTTAGGTTTTTCTTTTTCTGTCTCCTCAGTTCTCACCCTTGGTTTTCACGATAGGAATATGCCAGTTTTTCAACGTTGGGGAACCAGTATCCCTCTCTCCCTCTTCTCTTCTACTTCTGGCTCCTCCCACTCCAGTTGGTCCTTCCCTTCTGATGATTCCTCCCCATCTTCTGACTTCTCCCCTTCCTCCTAGTCTTCCTCCTCCTCTTCCTCTGGCTCCTCTTCCACTGACGTTTCCCTCTGCTCCAGCTCCTTACTCTTGTCCTCCTGGTTTTCTATTTCTTTTGTATTTCTGGGGAGGAGAGTCTCTCTCTGCAGGGTTCCTAAAATCCTATCTGCAGATCCTGCTTTCCTGCCTTTACTCTGAAAAGTGGAGCCAAATGGAACAGCCCTATTTCCTTTCTCAGAATAGCTTTATCACATGTTGCACATGCAATTAACAACCTACTAGCCAGGTTGTTTTGAGAATCTTGGCAGCTGCCTCCTTGAGCAAATTTGATTCACTTCCAAAGCTTGAAGTAACACTCTTCCTTACAACATCAAATTGAACAAGACTTTTATTAATACCTGACCACTTGGTATTCTCCAGCTCTACCCTGATTTCTCCAGAAGATTCACTATGAGTTTTGAGTTTTAAAGATGATGGAACTTACTATAGATTACAGATTAGTGCTCATAAACTAGAAGTGCTTCAATGAGCCATTATTTGAGCAACAAGCAATGGATGAAAGGAAAAATCTAGGTTTGACAGATTGGTGGTACACCTCTGGACTACCAGTTACAGAACTCTGCCCAACCAGATGAGACATAGACCCCCTCTTACTTATGTGCTTGATTCAAATGAGTTTAGGAAAGCAGATATGCACTTAAATGACCTGTCTGGAACCAAGACACGATCCGAGTTAACAGAAGGCGAAGAAGTACTCTGGGGCTAGAGGGTAGCCAGAAGCCAGAAATCTGAGCCACATCAAAGATCAAGACAGGGGCGCCCGGGTGGCGCAGTCGGTTAAGCGTCCGACTTCAGCCGGGTCACGATCTCGCGGTCCGTGAGTTCCAGCCCCGCGTCGGGCTCTGGGCTGATGGCTCAGAGCCTGGAGCCTGTTTCCAATTCTGTGTCTCCCTCTCTCTCTGCCCCTCCCCCGTTCATGCTCTGTCTCTCTCTGTCCCAAAAATAAAATAAAAACGTGGAAAAAAAAATTAAAAAAAAAAAAAAAAAGATCAAGACAAAGGTTGGGTCAGGAGTGAGGCCTGTGAGCAGAAATCACAGCACTGGTGGATGCAACACTTGTTAGCGTCAGGCCACGCAAGACCCCAGAGATGCAGAAGGATTCCAGGGAGGCCAGATGCAGAAGGAAATGAGGGTAGTCATAACCGTAGTGTTAGTTAACTAACACTTTAGTTAGTTAAGAACTCTGCGGAAGCCGAAGTGCAGTGCGTAGAAGAATAAATACAAAGGCCATTCCTTAGAAGATCCTGACCCTGAAGCAAGCTGTCCTGGCCAGGGCCTCTCATACTGCAAGGTGGATACTCAGTATAGAACTGGCTCAGGACAGCTGGGAGACCAAGGGAAGATCCTGATCTCCATCTGTTAAGGGACTGTATTTTTATGGGAACAGATGCCCATCCTCTTGTTACTTTTTGGTGGTTTGGTGAAGGTCATGATCTCACAAAACAACGTAAGCAGCAAATCGAAATGGAGCCATTGGACCCAATTCCTTACAGTGAAAAAATTGGAAAACTGGTTGAATAAATTATTCTGGCTTTATATAGTGGAAAAGTCTGTAATTATTAAGCGTGGTGCTGTATTTTTATATTGACATGGGAAAATATCCATAACCTACTGAGTGAAAGAAACAGACTATAGACGGAAATCTGATACTATTCCAATTAGAAGAAATATTTGGTGCTGTTGGCATATACACACACGCATGTGCACATGTACAGGCGGTTCAGCCGGGATATACTGCTAAGGCCGTATAAATGTATGGCTGCTTATGGTCAGTGCCTTTCCTGTACCAGTTGTTAAATATTTTAAATATTATTCCTGTATATATGCATTGGAAAGTGTTCCTCAAAATGCTATGTTCATCTTTGGGTGGATTCCAAGGATTTCTGTTTTTTCTCCATCCTTTTTTCACGTGTTTTAGTTTAGTTTTTTTTTTTTTTTTTTTTTTTTACAACTTCTATATATCATTTTTATGGTCGGAATAAATAAAGTTTTTTTTCACTTTGGAAAAAAGTTTTATCAGATTTGTGTAGGCAAAAAAAAAAAAAAAAAAAGGAAAAGAAAAAAATTCTTATTTTTGTATTCCGGAAAAGAGTTTCTGATATGGATGAGCCCAGCAAGTAAACTTTTTCTTTGGACACTGAGAAGTTTGGCACTTCTTATTCAAAATTATGATGCCCTCGTGGGCTTTTAATTATGGTGCCTCCTTGCCTGAAATATCAAACCTTGGTTTTTGAAAAATAAGATCACTGGACCATGTAGGCAAATGCGGTAAACCTGATGAGTCTAGATTTCACAGAGACAGCTGACAGATTCTCTCATGATATAATTTGGTCAAGACAAAGAAATATGAACTGGGTGCAAAGATACTTTGGAAGGGTTTGAATGCCCACAACCACAAGTCCCTTCTATAATGAGCTCAATGGCAAACTGGAGCACGGTTTTTTGGTTAAGCCGTAAGCTTCTGTCCTCAGTCCTGTGCCAGTCAGTATTTAAATCCATGACTTGTGTGAAGACTAAAATGCGAGGGCATTACCTGTAGAACACGTGGTTGACTTGAAGTAAAGACAAATAATGGAAGATATTTTGGGTGATAGAATGAGAATGTCAGATTCTGCACTGGGGTTCCAAAACCCAGGCATGAGCACCAGGTGAGGAACAATTGTCTGGCAGCAAGGTGCTGGGGCTTGGTCAGTCGAAAATGCATGTGAGTCAGAAGCATGATGAGGGAGCTGGAAAAGCTATAGGGATCTTGAGCAGCATTTATGGAAATGAAGCATTCAGAATGAGGAAAGCGTTAATCTTGTCCTACATTGAATGTCAAAGATGGCAGCTATTCAAAGATGCAATGGGTTGCTTCGTGAGGGGGTCTCTAACTCAATGTTCCTTTTTTCCCAGCCCTCTCAGGAAGCGGTAAAGGAAATGATACAGTTGTCCAAGGATACACTGGAAAAAATTGACAAGGCTCGCTCTGAGGGTTTATACCATGAGGTAAGAATTCATTTTTATAGGGATGGGGTGGGGAAGAGGGCAGAAAGATTCTGTAGTATGGGAGGGACATGGGGAGGGGTGGAGATGAGGAGGCTACCCAGCAGGTTGTTTTTCTGGAGGATAGCCCTTGGTTTGCACCATGACTCTTCTTGCCCTTAAGCCTTTAGCATCTCTTGGGGATATGTTCTCAGTGATTGCTCAACCGACTGAAACTGGGTCTGAGGAGAGCACAGGCAGCCTGGCAAATGTCCCTGGGGGGTCTGTGATATCTCAGGTTGGCGTCAGAGGTGGAGAAATGGAAATGGCAGTGGGTCGCCTGCTTTTTCCTAATTGAATGCATGTCCTGGCTACAGTTTCCAGTCTCTACCAACTGAGCATTCAGCCCTGGCTCTCGAAGCAGCAGGAATTGTCAACTGGATGTACACTAGAATCGTGGAAAACTCCTGATGCTCAGGCTCCGACCCAGGACATTTTCACCCAAATCTCTTCGGGAGTAAAACCCAGATGTCAGGATTTTTAAAACTCTCAAGTGATTCCAATGTGCACCCAAAATGGAGACCCACTGCCACACACTGACCTGCAGAGTACTTGCATCAGATTTACCTGGGCAGCTTGTTGGAAATGCAGATTCCCGTGTCTCGCCCCCTAAGATATGATTTGTCAAATCTGCAACAGAACACAGCGACTGTGAATCAGTGTCTTTCCCCCAGGCTCTTTCAACAACCCAGGCATGTAGCTGGGTTTGGAAGCCAGCAAGGCATGGCAGTGAGAGATGAATTTGTTTTCATTTCCACCTGCTTCTCCTTTATTTTCATCCTCTTCATTTACTCATTCATTGCACATTTGTGAGCCCTTACTGGTGGGGTGACCAACGCGAGAACTCTCCCAGGAGTTCTCATGGGTGGGGAGACAGGCACGCCAGCAGGGTGTTACTGTACAATGTGGAAAACCTATGTCAGAGGCACGACGTAGGAGCTGAAGCAATCAGGAGGGCTCCGCTGGTTCCAATCTTCTGACTTCTCATTTCTCCCCTTCCATTCAAACCTAACAGGACCAGGTGTAGACCTGGACACTGGCCCCGTGGGGTTAAGAGGATTGTCTTCAGGATGGATTGATGGTCAGTCCACAGTTGGTCACACCCCCCACCCATGGGACTCTGGGAGAGTCTCAGAGCAAAATTAGTTTCTGCTCATTTGAGATGGAAGGAATTGTGTGACATTTCTCCCATGACAGCGGCAAGTGAAGGGGGAACAATGAACAACTAAAATCTAGAGGCCATCTGACTTTGTAGGATGCAACCCAAGCCCATGTGGACACAGGAATCAGTCAGAAAAGCCTGACTCCAAGCTCACTGGGGTCAGGCCCATCTTATTCCTTACCAGAACCAAGGTGACATCCCCCTGGTGGGTCTCCCAGCCTCCTGGGAGCCTCCCTTTCTGCCAGCTCATCTTGTATGCTTCCATCGGGGAATGATTGTCCAAACTCTCTGTGCATAAGGACCACCCAGGAGCTTATATACCCTACAGTTGCCAGGGTCCGTCCCCCAGATATTTGCTTTCAATTGGTCTGGGGTAGGGTCCAGACACTGCTGTTTTTAAAAATGTCTCCAGGTAATTCCAGAGCCCAACCAGGGTGGAGAGTCCCAGGAATGGTGGTTCAGATAAAGCCCGGCTGCTTAGTTTGAATTCTTGCTCCATGTTTTACCACCTGCGTGACTTCGGCAAAGCACTTAACCCTTTTTGTGCTTCAGTTTCCTCCTCTGGTAAAACGGGAATGTTAGTAGTACCTATCTCATTGCATTATTGTAAGAGTCAATCAATCAATCAATCAGTCAATCTCTCTCTCTCTCTCTCTGTCTTTCATAACTCTCTGCTACCTACTGATTATGAAAACTCATTTTTGTCATATGTCAGCCATATCTCCCACTGTCACCCTTTCCATCCCTGCATCGTAGCCAAATAGGGCCATTTTGCTATTCAGATCACAGACTGGTGCTCCTGCACCTCTGTCAGCCATTTCCTCGGCCTTAAAAGAATGAATGTCTAGTGTCATCGTGGTGCCCCCATGTGTGAGCTAAGTGCATGCTGCAATGCCGTGGTCACGGACAGGTCCTGTGTCTCCTCCAGGTTGTGAAATTGTGCCGGGAGTGCCTGCAGAAGCAGGAGCCGGTGTTTGCCGACACCAACCTCTACACGCTGCGGATGCTGAGCACTGTTTCGGAGGTCCTCTCCTACCTCCAGGCCTTTGAGGAGGCCTCGCACTACGCCAGGAGGATGGTGGATGGCTATATGTAGGTAACAATGCTGGGTCTCAGAAAGTCTCCTGGAAAAGTGTCTATTCCAGGGATGGCAAAGATGGCACCCATATTGCTGTCTCTCCCTCCTGCACCCATGGGAGGCATCAGTAATCGACCATGGTCCTCTTTATCTTTAAGTTTATTTATCTTATTTTGAGAGAGAGAGAGAGAAAGAGAGAGAGAGAGAGAGAGAGAGAGAGAAAGCATGTGTGTTCGCATGAATTGGGGAGGGGCAGAGAGAGAGAGAGAGAGAGAGAGAGAGAGAGAGGGAGAGAGAATCCCAAGCAGGCTCTGCACTGTCAGAGCAGAGCTTGATGCGGGGCTCGAACTTACAAACTGTGAGATTATGACCTGAACCGAGATCAAGAGTTGGCTGCTTAACTGACTGAGCCACCCAGGTAGCCCAGTCCTTTTTATCTTTACAACTGAGTCTTTTTACCATGGTGCTCTGAGTGGTCCTGACCGAATGATCAGAGTTAGTACCTGAGATGATACCTATAGGTCATCCCTGGTCTTTCCCAAATCCTCTAGCACATCTACCACTTGGGTGGCCCCTTCTGCGTTTGGTTTTCTTACGGCTAAGTTCAGCTTGCTTTTAAGTGCTTCAAAAGGATTTCCCCCTGGCAGTCAGCACAGGCAACCCTGTGACCTTTCTTTTATTAAAGAAAAAGAAAAGGTGTTAGCCATCCTTGCTTATAAATTAGAAAATGCACAGTTCCTGCCTTCCCTCTGCCAATGTCTTTCTCTTGCCTTCCATGTCCACATTGGCATGTGAATTTGTATCTTTGACCAAATGAGTATGTTGGCACAAGAAGGTACATTTTTTTTGGAGAGAATGTTCCTCATAAACAAAAGCCAGGAAGACTGTACAATATGCTAAAAGGAAGCTCTGTTAGGACCGTGCCAAGGAGGTGAGAATACAGTTCTGTCCCAGAAAGGACATTCAAGTTATTTTTATCCCCCTGAACGTCTACTTTGCAGGGAGAAGGCTGGGGTGCTCCTGAGAGCTCCCAGCCTCCTGTCCTCTAGTTCAGAGTCCAATCCTGACTCCATTTCCCCATGAGGACTTGCCTTGGTGACCCAGGTCAGAGTCTCAGCTCTCACAGCCTCACCATTCGGTGTGTTTGGTCACTGCCCACCTTCTCTGTGGCTCAGGCCCTGCCCAATGGGCTGTAGATGCCTCATGGTGCTGATGGGAGAGCAGATGGACTGAATCAATGAGGGTACATGGTGAGCTGTCAAATACCGTGCACCTCTCAGGAAGGTTGGGATGATTTGTACAATTATTTGCTATGCCCCCACAGGAAGCTCTACCACCCCAACAATGCCCAGCTGGGCATGGCCGTGATGCGGGCAGGGCTGACCAACTGGCATGCTGGGAACATTGAGGTGGGGCACGGGATGATCTGCAAAGCCTATGCCATTCTCCTGGTGACACATGGACCCTCCCACCCAATCACCAAGGACTTAGAGGCAAGTAGCATCTCAGAGATGGGCGTCCTTGTCTGGTCTGAGCTCTCTAAGGATGGGAGCTGCAGACCCCAGAGTTCTGGACTCTGCATTTGGGGAGTCCCATAGATTGCCTGCTGGAGCAGAAGGAAATTCAGAACTGCTTTAGTTCACCACCCCCCTTGTTTTACATCCGAGCAAACTGAGGCCCCGGGAAGGGGATTAACCTGTCTCTGGTCACATAGTGAGTGGATGGCAAAGCTGAGGTTTGAACCCTGAGATGCTCCAAGCGTGGACTGGGAAAGCCTCACCAGCAGTATGTGTGCGGCCAGGTACATTAGAATTTGTGCCGCATAGAGCAGAGCTGGGGAGCATAGGCCCTGGAATCAGGCTGCTGAGACTGAACTCCAGCTGTACCACTTTCTAGCTGTGTGAGTGCAAACGTGGAATGTGTGGGCCCCAGTCTCCTCATCAGTAAAATGGAGAGAAAGGATAGGGTTGTGATAAGGGTTCAGTGAGTTAATGTGTAAAAAGCACTCAGAACAGTGCCTAGCAAATGGCCTGGTCTTAATAGCTGGGGTTTTCTTTGTGTTTGGAAGAGCTGGTTTATTTGAGGGTGGCAGGGTTCAAAGGACGGTCCTCATTCAGTATGGTACAGGGAAAGAGGACAGACTTCAGTGTCATAAAATGTCTGAGAAAACTAACTTTACGTATAGTATATTAAGTTTGCCAAAGGCTCTGCCTTCTTCACTGCTGTATCCTTAGTGCCTCAGTGATGCCTGGCCCTTGGTAAATGTTTCTTGCATGGAAATATGGGAGCATAGAGGCTTTTCTATGCATCACATACTGTGATCTTCTTGTTCCATTGTGACGTATGAAGGAATCTCACCCACTTTATGTGTGAGGAAACTGAGGTCTGAAAGGAGGTGTCATTTGCCTAAGGTCCCACAGTGTTAGTTGGGACCTATGTGCAGGATCCAGGGTTCAAACCCAATCCCCACTTGTCAGTTCCTGTGAACAAGCATTCTCTGCTGTGAACAATCCCTCAAGGTACTTTCTTAGGGGTCTGCCTCCCTCTCCCTAGCAAACCGAGCCCACTCCCAGGACTTCAAGCCCCCAGAGGATGTGTGTGTGTGTGTGTGTGTGTGTGTGTGTGTGTGTGTGTATCTGTGTGTCCTCTGAGTGGGAACAGCTGAATCTCAGTGTCTGGGAGTCATTTACCCCATTGTCTGCCCTTTCCAAAAGGGCGAAGGTAGGTCAGAGGCCAATATGTCCTGGTGACCTGTCATCACCGTTTATCGTGTATTTATGTCCCACAGGCCATGCGGATGCAGACGGAGATGGAGCTGCGCATGTTCCGCCAGAACGAGTTCATGTACCACAAGATGCGTGAGGCCGCCCTGAACAACCAGCCCATGCAGGTCATGGCAGAGCCCAGCAGTGAGCCAGCCCCGGCTCTGTTCCATAAGAAGCAATGAGGACCGGTCTGGTGGGGGAGGGGCACCGTGGCTGGGGACCTGGGGAGACGTTCTGGAGGTGGTAGGTTTCTGGGAAGACCCTTGATGAGGAAGTCGGGGTCATGTTCACGCTTGTTGCTGTGGGTGTATATTGCTCTGTGTTCCTAAGTTCATTTTGGTTCATTTAAACTCAGTTCGATTCAGTTGAACTCTACCCCAGCCCAGCCTAGCCTCGCCCAATTTATCCTGTAAATATTTATTGGGTGGTAGACCCAAGGGATAAAGAGGCTTCAAATGTAGCTGGGCAGCCAAAATGTAAACAATTAAAGCACAGTATAATAATAAATGCAATGGTAAACTATATGGGGGGGGGTGCAGTGGAGGGCATGTGGCTGGTGTGTGTGTGTGTGTGTGTGTGTGTGTGTGCATGTGTGTGTGCGTGTGAGTGCGCACATGCATTCATTGGGAGGAGTGTCATGGAGGAGATGATATTTGAGCTGAGAGGGTGGCAGGTGCCAGGAGTCTCAGGTGACTGCGGACCCACCTGTGCAGGTATCTCAGGGACTGCTGGTCTTACTCATGGTCTGGAATACTCAGGTCTTGTCCGACTAGGATGGATGATGTCTAGTTTCCTCAGATTAGTGTGGGATTATAAAGAAGGGGTGATGTTTGGGCCATTTGAGTTCTACTCAGAGAACCAAAACCTCTTAGTAAATATGAGAATGAGATGAATGTGCAGAAATAGGTGGGGCTTTGCCCAAACCACTCAAAGCCTCAGTTTAAAGTCTGGATTCCAAGTATTATTCTGAAACTATTTCTAAAACACACAGAGGGAGTGTCTCCCCCCACCCATCCTCACTGTCAAGCCTTGATTCCCTGTGATGTGGGTGCTACTTGAACAATATCTGAGATTTTATTGGCCACTGGTCAACCAGGATTGAAGTCTTAGCAGGGTGAAGCTGAAGGAGAAGCTTGGAAACACACATACCTGATGGTCATGGGTTCAGCAGAATTGGTTTGGGGAGGTTTTATTTGGTTACATGTAGGGCTTAGGCGTCATCATAGGCCCCGAGCAAATTTCTATTCCTAGTAAGGAATAATTATGATTTCTCTTGCTTAATTTCTCTCACTGCCCATCCCCTGAGGCCTCTGCAAGTCTCACCAGGGGGAAAGTCTAATCCGGACTCTGCACGCCTAGGTTAGGATCTCCTTGGGGACGTGACTGACTTGTCATCATTTCCTGGGAGGTTGCTGTGGTTTCCACCCAAGAGTTAGGGTCTTGGGATCAGCCAAATCTAGTTGTCCCATTACCTTCTGGGGTCCTAAACTTCTCACCAATGTTTTGGGGGAATCCTGGAGCAAAGCTATCCGTTTGGGGAGTGTCACCAATCTTCTATACCACCTGGGGCCACCCTTGACCCCAGAGCTCTAACCATCTGGAAGCAATGCCACCAGGCCCCATATTTGTCATCTCTGCCTAAAGTGTTGGTTCCTCTGTTCCTACTTTTTCATCCTCAAAACCACCCACTGCCTCCCTCTTAACCTTTCCAGTGGCTCTGCAAATATGCCAAAAAACTGTCCAAAAGCTCTGTGAATGTGCTATGTCTTTGCACAGTATTCATGTCTGGCATTTGGCTCTTCTTCAAGGATACCCCCTTCTCTAGAAGCTTTCACAGGAAGATTGGCCATTCTTCCAAGCCTTCATACCAACAGACCTACAGATGGCACCAGCATTCTTCCAGGGGCCCAACTGCACATTGAAATAATCACTTTTCTGCCTCCTATAAAACCTGCCCCCCACCCACTACCCTTCTCTGTCACTGTCGTCTGCCATTCCGCCGGTCATGCTCCCATATTCATGGTCTTATTTTCCATCCCCTCTGCCTCAAATGTGGTGTCTTCAATGTCCCCTCACAAAAATCATCTAATCCTCTTGCTTCACAGATTCTTTATTTACTCAATTACAGATATCTTTCCAGTTTTTCCATTAGCACCCTCTCCTGACCATAGTTTCTCCATTTTTATTTTATTTTATTTTTAAGTAAACTCTACACGCAGTGTGGGGCTTGAACTCACAACTCTGAGCTCAAGAGTCACATGCTCTACTGACTGAGCCATCCAGGCACCTCAATTTCTCCATTTTTGATGTTTAACTTTCTGGTCATTGCTTCCTACCTTTTCGCCTCTCTTTTTTCTCCACCCCAGATTACTATATGACATGTATACTGGAGTGTTTCACCCTGCTACTTTCTTTGCCTCCTTCCAGATAAGCTTCTGCCCGTTGTCCCTTTCTGCCTGGCAGAGTCTCAACCCTGGATTAATTTGGCTGTCTTGTTTTCTGTCTGCTGCTCCTGGAGATGCTAAGAACAGTCAGGGAGAACAGTGGCTCTCTGAAAACATGCACTTCTACAGACTCCTTGCCAACCTCAGCTGGCCTTTGGGCGCAGCCCAGAAGTATTTCATGTGCCCTTCATTGGCTGTCTTTCCCTTTTGCCCAGTAGCTATTTGAGGCCTTCGCTCTTGTCCTTGAGTCCTCTGCTTTCAGCAGAACCTCATCTCCTGCTTCATGGAGAAATAGAGGCCAGAAGATGGGACTCCCTCAATCCTCTTCCCACATTCATGCACGTCTTGTCTGTGCTTGACCTTCTTTTCCTCCTTCTCACACTCGTGGAACGGGAGCCCCTCTCCTCCCACAAAGCTAACTCTCCACCTGTGCTGTGGACTTCTTCCCCTCTGATGTCCTCAGGGCCTTGCTTCACCTTTCATTCCCTCACCACCATGGATCCTTGACATTCTTCTGTCCACTGCCTTGTTCAATGCCATCAACAAACGTGCTGAGGGCTCTTTGATCATAATCTTCACAGCCGAGTATTTTTTTTAATGTTTATTTATTTTGAGAGAGAGCGTGCAAGCAAGGGAGGGGCAGAGACAGAGGGAGAGAGAGAGAATCCCAAGCAGGTTCCATGCTCAGTGCAGACAGAGCCCAACATGGGGCTCAATCTCACGATCATATCATGACCTGAGCAGAAATCAAGAGTCAGACACTTAACTCAGGAGCCCACTGAGTACTTTTTTTAAAGGACTTATCTCTCAGGGCACATGTGTGTCTCAGTCAGTTAAGTGCCCTACCCTTGATTTTGACTCAGGTCATGATCTCATGGTTTGTGAGATCGAGCCCCGCATCAGGCTCTATGCTGACAGCGTGGAGCCTGCTTGGGATTCTCTCTCTTCCTCTCTCTCTGCCCCTGCTCCCACTTGCATGCTCTCTCTCTCTCAAAATAAATAAGTAACCATTAAAAAAAATAAAAGACTTGTCTCTCATAGTTCTTCTCTGCCTTTCTTGACTTCTCATTTGTTCCTGAACCCACTGCAGGCTGGCTTCCTGAACTCCACTGAAATGGCTCATACCAAGGTCGACTCTGGTGGGCGGGTACCTTAGTCTGTATATTATTTGGCCTCTTTGCACAGTTGACACTCCCAGCCCTTGATATCTGGATACCACTTCTTGTGATGATCCTCTGGTGTGGTTTCTCTTCTTCCCCGACCCCATTTCTCTACCTGCCCCGGAAACATTGGCGTTATTTCCTGGGATCGGGTTTGTTCCTTCTGGTCATTCTTGGTCCGTGCTCATCTTGCTTTGCGCACTCCCTGCATGAGCCCAGCCAGGCCTTTTGTTTAATCACCACCTTGAGGCTGATAGTGTTAAATCTGTATTCCCAGACCTTGCTCTTGAGCTCCAGCCCCACATACCCCCTCAAATGTTGTCCATGCACACCACCCTCGTCACATCCAAAACGAAACTCTTTCTCTTTCCTTTCTCCCCTCCCCCACATCTGCCCCTCACTGACTTCTGCTCTAGCTGCTTGCTTCCACTGCATCCTAGACTCCAGTCAATCCCAGTCACTCATGGGTCTCTGAGTGACCCATGTTCTCCTGGGCCTCTCTTTGAATTTTGAAACATTCTATCTAAAATATCTGAAACCTGCCAACTCCTATTCATCTTTCAACATCCGGTTAGGAAATCACCCCTTCTGTGAAGCCTTCCCTGAGTGCCTTGGATTCTGCTGGCTGCCTATCTCAGTCTCTCACATCACCCTCGAATCCCCCACCATCGCACTGTCCTCGTGACTAATAATTGTCTTTTTCCTTGTCTGCCTCCTCCATCAGATTGTGAGCTCCTGGAGACGCAGGAGCTGTGTCCCTTTCTTTGTCTTTCAATCCCCAGAACCTGGCACAGGTCCTGGGACTAGGTGCTCAGTTAATATGTGTTGAATGAATGAATAAGTGAATGACTTTGCTCATCTCAGAGCAGAAGAGACAAGTAACACTGCATATTTTTGAGTTTTTATGTTATAGCGGTCAACAAAGGCCATTAAATCGTCCATATTTCCAAGCAAATATGTGTGGCTTCTTTCTTTCTGATAGCCTGTTTAGAGCTGCACTCTCTGATAGAACTTTCTGTAATGATGAAAATATACCATATCTGTGTTGTGCAGTACCGTAGCCCCTAGCCCCTACACCTTTCAAGCTCTAGCAATGTGTCTAGTATGAGTGAGGAGTTGAATTTTAAATTTTATTTAATTTCAACTAATTTCAGTTTTAAAAGCCAACGTGGTTACTGGCTGCTGTATTACACAATGCAGTTTTAGGGAATAGTGTGGTTTTTAAGATTATGGATGCAGAGACAAGTGACGTTCCTTTCTCAGCTCTCCTAATGTTAGCATGACCTTGGACTGGTGATTTCACCCATGCCTCAGTTTCCTCATTTCTACCTACCACACAGAGTTGATGTGAGAATTAAACTTTTGAAATGTGAAAGCTCTCTGAATGGTGCCTGGCTCATCCTAAGTGCTTCGTGGGCACTCCAGCCATGGTGCTGTCCAGGGTCCCTTCCCCTAAGAGGAAAGTGAAGGTCGAGGGTAGATGCAAGCAGCAGTATGTGGGAACCAGCTCTTCCCGGCCTGTGAGAGCAGACTGTGCACATCTCTTCCAAACTCTGCATTCATCAACATCACGTCGATAGCTTGGTATTGGCCATGGTGGGAATATTTATACCGGGGCAATTGGCTTAACTTTAAAAGAACACATTCATTTGTAGTGTTGTCAGTCTATAAAAACGCGGTCCGCTATATACGAGTAGAGAACGAGTAGTTAAAAACGCCATTAAAGAAATCTTTCCTGGGGCACCTGGGTGGCTCCGTTGGTTAAGCGTCAGACTTCGTTCAGCTCAGATCGTGATCTTAGGACTTGTGGGTTCAAGCCCCATGTCGGACTCCATGCTGACAGCTCAGAGCCTGGAGTCTGCTTCAGATTCTCTGTCTCCCTCCCTCTCTCTCTGCCCCTCCCCTGCCCATGCCCTGTCTCTCTCTCTCTCAAAAATAGATAAACATTAAAAAAGAAAAAAAAAGAATGCAGGAGGGAATCAGCATAGTTGGGGCATGTAGCAGAGAGAAGAGGAACATATGTGAGGGCAGTCAGAGGTGCAAGCTCTTGGACTGAGGGGTGCACAGTGCTGATGATAACATCCAGTGCGTGAGGGTTAACAGCACCTCTGGAAGCTGCCTTGCCCACTCCCTGCCCAGCACTACATACAAATCCCCCAATCTCACGTTGCCCAGGAGTACCTCATCAGTCTCAGAGAAGCACAACACGCAGCCTGACCACGGGCCACCACATGGGTTCAATAACTCAGAGTATGGCTATGCAACAGTTTATCTAGCCCTTTCTTACTCGTGGGCATTTTTATATATGTGTTCAAACACTTCTCTAGGAAGACATACAAGAGTGGCATTGCTAGGTGTTAGGGAACTTAGAAAATATTAGTAGATACCGTTACACAATTTACATCTCTACCAGTGATGGGAGAGCCATTCTTGACTCATATCCTTGCAAACGCTCCTTATTATCAATCTTTTCACTTTTTACTAATTTGATTTGTAATATGGTATCTCCTCTTAAAACCCTCCTCCCTGATTACTTTGAGACTAAGCATGTTTCACCCTGTGAATTGCCCATTAATGTGCTCACCCCACCTTCCCATTGACTTGTTGGGCTTCTTACTGATTTGGAAGAGGTTTTTATATTGTGTCAACCTCTGTTATGTAAGTCACAAATAATTTCTCCCACGTGGTTGCTTGTTTTGGAAACTGTGTCTATAGTCTCTTTTCATACAAACCTTTGTAATATGGATTAATCTTTTTCTTCATGGTTTTTGCACCTATACGTCAATATATACTGATTTATCTACTATGTCTATTTTTAATGTTTCACATTTATTCATTTAGCTCTTTAGTTCGTCTAGAACTTATTTTTGTGAATGGCATATTGTAGTGTGCTTTAGGGTTTTTTATTTTTCTTGTATCTCCTACCTCTGAATTCTTACTGAAGCTCTGAAGCTCTTTCCTTAAGTGTGCCTCAGTTCCCCAAATTATGGGCTCCCTCTTTTTCTTTTTTTTTTTTTTTTTAATTTTTTTTTCAACGTTTTTATTTATTTTTGGGACAGAGAGAGACAGAGCATGAACAGGGGAGGGGCAGACAGAGAGGGAGACACAGAATCGGAAACAGGCTCCAGGCTCTGAGCCATCAGCCCAGAGCCTGACGCGGGGCTCGAACTCACGGACCGCGAGATCGTGACCTGGCTGAAGTCGGATGCTTAACCGACTGCGCCACCCAGGTGCCCCTGGCTCCCTCTTTTTCTAAGACCCCACTCCACATATGTCAAATACTGTAGTGCAAGGCAGGAAGAATTTCATCCAATAAACTGGTGTAGATAAAATGCCAGAGGGAGGGAAAGAGTACTTTCAGCTGTGCAATTCAGGAAGTCTTCTTGAAGGAGGCGGCACTTAAATTGATAGGGCAATGAGAGATTGTTTAGCTTGACTGGAATGTATATTATAGGAAAGGGTTGAAGCTAGATAAGGCAGGGCAGGCTATAATCAAGCAAGGGTCAGCAACCTACAGTCCATGGGTCAGATCCAGCTGCCACTTGTTTCTATATGGTGTGCAAGCTAAGAACGGTATTCTGTGTTTAAATGGTTGAGAAAAAAATCAAGAGAAGAATGCTGTTTTATGTCACATGGAAATGATATGAGATTAAAATTTTTTTAATGTTTATTTTTGAGAGAGAGACAGAGAGACAGAGAGTCAGAGTGAGAGAGAGAGACAGAGAGAGACAGAGTAGGGGAGGGCCAGAGAGAGAGGGAAACACAGAATCTGAAGCAGCTCCAGGCTCTGAGCTGTCAGCACAGAGCCTGATGCGGGGCTTGAACTCATGAACCGCGAAATCATGACCTGAGCTGAAGTCGGACACTTA